AAGGATTATAAATCATTCTACTACAAGGACACATGCACACGAATGTTCATTGCAGCACTGTTTACAATAGCAAAGACCTGGAACCAACCCAAATGCCCAACGATGATAGACTGGATAGGGAAAATGTGGTACATATACACCATGGAATATTATGCAGCCATCAAAAACGAGGAGTTCACGTCCTTTGTAGGGACATGGATGAACCTGGAAACCATTATTCTCAGCAAACTGACACAAGAGCAGAAAATCAAACACCGTATATTCTCGCTCATAGGCGGGTGTTGAACAATGAGAACACATGGACACAGGGAGGGGAGCACTACACACTGGGGTCCGTTGGGGGGAAATGGGGGAGGGGCGGGGGTGGGGAGGTGGGAAGAGATAGCATGGGGAGAAATGACAGATACAGGTGAGGGGACGGAAGGAAGCAAAGCACACTGCCATGTGTGTACCTATGCAACAATCTTGCATGTTCATCACATGTACCCCAAAACCTAAAATGCAATAAAAAAAAAAAAAAAAAAAAAAACAAAGTTTAAAAAAAAAAAAAAGAAAAAGAAAAAAAAGAAATTGGCAGTGACATTAACAAAAGTGATATGGAAGACCAAAATTTTCCAAATGACCAATTCATGATGCTAAAAAACTATGCTTGGGTAAAAGACCCATTTAAAGTGCAGGATCAATCAATGAGATTTTAATGTAGCAGAGTACAAAATGTTCACGAATATGATTACAGATTCTATACTGAAATAACTTTAAAATAACCATCACTTGTTGAGTTTTAGTGAAATACCGAAGAAAAATATCCATAATCATCTGAAAAGGCTATTAAAGTATTCCTCCTACCTTTTTGAACTACACATCTCTGTGAAGCTAGATTTTCTTCATATATTTCTTTTTTTTTTTTTTTTTTTTTTTTTTGAGACAGAGTTTTGCTCTTGTTGCCCAGGCTGGAATCCTATGGCTCGATCTCAGCTTACTGCAGACTCTGCCTCCCAGGTTCAAGTGATTCTCCTGCCTCAGCCTCCTAAACAGCTGAGATTACAGGCACGTGCCAAGATGCCCAGCTAATTTTTTGTATTTTTAGTAGAGATGGAGTTTCTCCATGTTGGTCAGGCTGGTCTCAAACTCCCAGCCTCAGGTGATCTGCCCACCTCAGCCTCCTAAAGTGCTGAGATTACAGACATGAGCCACCACACCTGGCCTTCTTCATAAATTTAAACTAAAACACCACATCAAAATAGATTACAAAGGCAAGTATTAATAGAGATGATAATTGCCTTCTATGAAGTTGGACATCAGAAGGATTTTCTAAAAAGTAAAGCAATGGCTGTGCACAGTGGCTCACGCCCATAATTCCAGCACTTTGGGAAGCCTAAGTGGGCAGACTGTCTGAGCTCAGGAGTTCGAGACCAGCCTAGACAATACGGTGAAACACCATCTCTAGTAAAATACAAAAAAAAAAATAGCGGGGTGTGTTGGCATGCGCCTGTAGTCCCAGCTACTCAGCAGGCTGAGGCAGAGCAACTGCTTGAACCCCGGAGGTGGAGCTTGCAGTGAGCTGAGATGGCACCACTGTGCTCCAGCCCGGGCGACAGAGTGAGACTGCGTCTCAAAAAAAAAAGTAAATCAATGCCAGCCTTCTATTTTGAAAATATAATTTTTTTCATAAAGTTATTTTAGAATATGAGTTTACTAGCATCATTTAGAAAAAAAAAAATAAGTGGTTTATAAACATCTCCATTTTCTTTTTTTTTTTTTTTCTTTTTTGAGACAGGGAGTCTAAGCTGGAGTGCGGTGGTACAATCATGGCTCACTGCAGCCTCAACCTCCCATGTCATTCTCCACCCCAGCATTTCAAGTAACTGGGACCACAGGCACGTGCCACCATGCCCACCTGGCTTATTTCTCTTTTGGTTTGTTTTGTTTTTGTTTTTCGTGGAAATGAGGTCTCAGGCTAGTCTCAAACTCCTGAGCCCAAGTGATCTTCCCACCTCAGCCTCCCAAACTGCTGAGATTACCAAAGTGCGAGCTACTGGCCAGGCGCAGTGGCTCACACCTGTAATCCCAGGACCGTGGGAGGCCGAGGCAGGCGGATCACAAGGTCAGAAGTTCATGACCAGACTGGCCAACATGGTGAAAACCCGTCTCTACTAAAAAATACAAAAATTAGCTGGGCATGGTGGCTCATGCCTGTAATCCCAGCTACTTGGGAGGCTGAGGTAGGAGAACTGCTTGAACCGGGACCTGGGAGGCAGAGGTAGCAGTGAGCTGAGATCGCACCACTGCACTCCAGCGTGGGCTACAGAGCGAAACTCCATCTCAAAAAAAAAAAAAAAAAAGTGTGAACTACCACATCTGGTCACAGTTTTAATTTCTAATACAGTAAATGTTGAAAGATACGGCCCACATAAACAAAAAACTGTTTGCGGTCCTCAGTAAGTTTTCACAGGGCAAAAGGATTCTGAAACCAAAAAACTGGAGAACTACTGACACAGGTATTGTAATAAACACTAAATATGAATTTAACGACAATCATTAAATATTACTTTAGAAAGCTAAAAGAGAAGCAGAGCTCATCAAAACGGTTAATGAAAAACAAATGTGGGCCAAGGGTGGTGGGTTATGCCTCTAATTCCAGCACTTTGGGAGGCTGAGGCAGGAGGATCACTTGAGGTCAGGAGTTCAAGACCAGCCTGGCCAACATGGTGAAACTCCCTCTCTACTAAAAAAAAAAAAAAAAAAATCAGAAAGTAATTGGTCAGGCATGGTGGCACACACCTGTAGTCCCAGCTACTCAGGAGGCTGAGGCAGGAGAATCAGTTGAATCTGGGAGGCGGAGGTTGCAGTGAGTCAAGACTGCACCACTGCACTCAAGCCTGAGAGACAGAGTAAAACTCTATCTCAGAAAAACAGAAATGTACTTTAAGTTACTAGCCAGAAATAAATGCTTTGATGATCTCTATTTGCTTACCTAACACAAACATCATTTCCTTCTAACCGGAAATATCTATCTTCCTTACTGAACCGTGACCTCCAGAAATGCTCTTATCTCCGTAACCCAAGGCCTGATGACAAGTATCATATAGCAAATATTAACTAATAATTATTTGACTCAGTGAATGAATAAATGAATGAGCTAGCCCAATTCACAAAATTAAGTCATACTCACCAAATGGCTGTTTCTTCTATTTTTATTTTTATTTTTTATTTATTTATTTATTTATTTTTGGAGACGGAGTTTCACTCTTGTTACCCAGGCTGGAGTGCAATGGCACGATCTCGGCCGACCGCAACCTCCGCCTCATGAGGCAATTCTCCTGCCTCAGCCTCCTGAGTAGCTGGGATTATAGGCACGCGCCACCATGCCCAGCTAATTTTTTTGTATTTTTAGTAGAGACGGGGTTTCACCATGTTGACCAGGATGGTCTCGATCTCTTGAGCTCATGATCCACCCGCCTCAGCCTCCCAAAGTGCTGGGATTACAGGCTTGAGCCACTGCGCCCGGCCTTCTTCTATTTTTAAAAACCTATATACAGCAGCACTGGAAAGTCATGTTCTTTTTTTTTTTTTTGAGATGGAGAGTCTCACTCTGTCGCCCAGGCTGGAGTGCAATGGTGTGATCTTGGCTCACTGCAACCTCCATCTCCCAGGTTCAACTGATTCTCCTGCCTCAGCCTCCCAAGTAGCTGGCACTACAAGCACGTACCACCATGCCTGGCTAATTTTTTGTATTTTTAGCAGAGATGGGGTTTCACCATGTCGGCCAGGATGGTCTCAATCTCTTGACCTTGTGATCCATCAGCCTCTACCTCCCAAAGTGTTAGGATTACAGGTGTGAGCCACCGTGCCCAGGCTACAATTTTTTTTTCTTTTGAACTTTTTTTTTTAAACACAGGGTTTCACCATGTTGGTCAGGCTGGTCTTGAACTCCTGACCGCATGTGATCCGCCCGCCTTGGCCTCCAAAGTGCTTGGATTACAGGTGTGAGCCACCGCACTCGGCCTACAATTTTTTTTTTTTTTTTGAGAGGGAGTTTCGCTCTTGTTACCCAGGCTGGAGTGCAATGGCGTGATCTCAGCTCACCGCAACCTCTGCTTCCTGAGTTCAGGCAATTCTCCTGCCTCAGCCTCCTGAGTAGCTGGGATTACAGGCACGTGCCACCATGCCCAGCTAATTTTTTGTACTTTTAGTAGAGATGGGGTTTCACCATGTTGACCTGGATGGTCTCGATCTCTCAACCTCGTGATCCACCCGCCTCGGCCTCCCAAAGTGCTGGGATTACAGGTTTGAGCCACCACACCCGGCCCAATTTTTTTTTTTTTTTAACTGGAGACGGAGTCTCGCTCTGTAGCCCAGGCTGGAGTGCAGTGACACCATCTTGGCTCTCTGCAACCTCAGCCTCCCAGGTTCAAGCAATTTTCTTGCCTCAGCCTCCCAAGTAGCAGAATTATAGGCACCTGCTACCATGCCTGGCTAATGTTTGTATTTTTAGTAGAGATGGGGTTTCACCATGTTGGCCAGGCTGGTCTTGAACTCCTGACCTCAGGTGATCCGACTGCCAAGGCCTCCCAAAGTGCTGGGATTACAGGCCTGAGCCACCATGCCCAGTGGAAAGTCATGTTTTCTTAAATCAGTGATTCTATGATTCATATACCACCATTCATGATGTAAATACAGAGGAAACCACATATATACAAAGGACTATATACCCATGCTGGCCATTTCTTTTCTTTTTTTATTTTCATGTTCTTCTGCCTTTTATCCCAGCCACTGACCATTTCTTTTCTTACCTGTCATAACTTACAGCAGGCACTCTTGAATTTCAATAATATCAAGACTTTTTCCCTCCTCTTTTCTTCCCTCTTAATATCTTTTGGTCCCTCTGGATTATACCTCCCCTTTTTTGTGCCATCAACCATTTTTAGTATACCATGAGCAACAAAAGACCTCTGACAGCTCCCAGAACTTACAGACAAACTAGAGGAACACAATCTTACCAATAGTATGATTTCCATAAAGGAGCTGCTCCAAAATTGCAGTTTTCCCCACAGATAACAATCCACAAACCACAACCTTGCAGCCCTTTCCCATCTTCTCTCAGGATATCACTGTGGAGAGAATAGAAATTGCATACTGTTGAAATCAACCTGTTCCTTTTCTTTCAATATTTCATTTTAATATGTGACGCATGCACAGGGGAAATTTTCAAATATAGAAAAGGAGATATAGAATAACATACAGCCTTCCAAATCCCATTCCCCAGTCTCCCATTTGCTCCCTTACAGCAATAAGCATTATTAGTTTCTTATGTATCTCACAGAGACAATGAAGATAAATATAAGTATACAGGGCGAGTAAACTTACACTTGTAATCCCAGCACTTTGGGAGGCCAGGCAGGTGGATCATCTGAGGTCAAGAGTTCGGGACCAGCCTGGCCAACACGGTGAAACCCCATCTCTACTAAAAATATAAAAATTAGCTGGGCGTGGTGGCATGAACCTGTAATCCCAGCTCCTCAATAGGCTGAGGCAGAGAACTGCTTGAACCCAGGAGTTGGAGGTTGCAGTGAGCTGAGATTGCACTTCAATCCAGCCTGGATTAAAGAGCAAAATGCTGTCCGCCCCCCCACCCCCGCCCGCTCAAAAAAAAAAAAAAAAAGATTACATGGATATGAATACATCTTTGTTCAAAAAGGATAAATACATTTTATATTAAGAATATTTCAATACTGATTGAGCCTAGGAATCCAACAGACTCCTAAATCCTTGAAAGAGACTGCCTACTCATCAATGTTTACCTGGAAAAATAAACATTTAAGTAAAAATTTAAGGAGGGTTGAAGATAAAATTTTTAGAGAATGGGCATGATGTTTTAAATAAACATTAATTAGTTTATGTCAGTCTTTTCTCAGGAGAGGAAGAAACTGGATTTTGGTCACATGGGCTTTTTTTTTTTTTTTTTTTGAGACAGAGTCTAGCTCTGTCACTCAGGCTGAAGTACAGTTGCAAGATCTCAGCTCACCGCTGCCTCCACTTCCCAAATGCAAGCAATTCTCCTGCCTCAAGTCTTCCAGGTAGCTGGGATTACAGGCACCCACCACTATGTCCAGCTAAATTTTTCTATTTTTAGTGGAGACTGTCTTTCACTGTGTTGGCCAGGATGGTCTCACCCCTGACCTCAAGTGATCCACCTGCCTTGGCCTCCCAAAGTGCTTCGATCACAGGCATGACCTACTGCACCTGGCTGTCACATGGGCTTTCTTAGTCACACTTCTTTTTGAGGAAGAACAGATAACACTAGAAAAATTGCCCATGCACTTGAAACTGGAAAGAAAAGGAAAATTAATCTCTCCTAGCCTCTCAACTTATAACTAAGAAAGAACAAGGTTAGGCGACATTTCCCTCAATTTTCCTCAAGGCTGCTTTAGAACGCAAGGTACCAGAAGTCAAGGCAGAAAGTAAAAAGCGATCATTAAATACAACAGAATACTTTGACAAATAATTCAAATTTCTACATTGCTGGTTGCCATCTCCCACTACCTCCTTATTTCCTCCAATTCTCTGCTTACTTAGAAATGAACATGTTATAAACCAGGCTAAAAGGGACACCACAACTCCTTGCAGTCAAAAACAACTCTAACGCCAGGCATGGTGGCTCACGCACGTAATCTCAGCAATTTAGGAGGCCAAGGTGGGTGGATCACCTGTGGTCAGAAGTTTGAGACCAGCCTGGCCAACATGATGAAACCCCATCTCTACTAAAAATACAAAAAATAGCCAGGTGTAGTGGCAGGCGCCTCTAATCTCAGCTACTCAGGAGGCTGAGGCAAGAGAATCGCTTGAACTGAGAGGTGGAGGTTACCGTGAGCTGAGATCATGCCACTGCACTCCAACTTGGGGAACGAGAATGAAACTCCGACTCAAAATAAAAAATAAAATATAGTTAAAAAAAGAACTCTAACAAGAAAGTTCATGGCCCGGCACGGTGGCTCACGGCTGTAATCCCAGCACTTTGGGAGGCTGAGGTGGGCAGATAATTTGAGGTCAGGAGTTTAAGACCAGCCCAGCCAACATGGTGAAACCCTGTTTCTACTAAAAGTACAAGACATTAGCTAGTGTGGTGGTGGGCGCCTGTAATAAACCTAACTACTCAGGAGGCTGAGGCAGGAGAATCGCTTGAACCTGGGAGGTGGAGGTTGCAGTGAGCTGAGATGGTACCACTGCACTCCAGCCTGGGCAACAGAGTAAAACTCCATCTCAAGAAAAAAAAAGTTTTAAATAAGCATTCTGACAAAAGGAATGCTGGGTATCTTTCTGCACTCATGTGCCCACTGAGCTGTGAGAACAAAAACCCAACACAGAACGCATATTTTTTTTTTAGAGACGAGGTCTGGCTATGCTGCCCAGGCTGGAGGCTATTCACAGGTATAATTACAAAACACTACTGCCTACAACTCTTGGGTTCAAGAGATCCTCCTCTGCTCACATCAGCTATAGAAAAAAAAAAAAAAAAAAAAAAATATATATATATATATATATATATATAGTTGTTGGTGTTGTTTACGCTGGAGTGCAGTGGCGCAGTCTTGGCTTACTACAACCTCCAACTCCTGAGTTCCAGCGATTCTCCTGCCTCAGCCTCCCAAGTAGCTGGGATTACAGGTGCATACCACCATACCTGGCTAATATTTGTATTTTTAGTAGAGATGGGGTTTCACCACGTTGGCCAGGCTGGTCTCAAACTCCTAACCTCAAGTGATCCTCCTGCCTCAGCCTCCCAAAGTGCAGAATACGTCTTAATGGTGATAGTCTAATAGTTACATTTGCATGCATGTGTGTTGCACAGTAATACTGGTTTTTTTGTTTTTGTTTTGTTTTTTACCAACACTGGAAACATTACGCCACAAAAAAATTTTCTGAAGTCTTCTCTACTGTATTTTCTGTCTGTAATTTTTTAATGACCCAAATCACTCACCACACTAATCTCATATAAAAAATTTCACGCTGCTAGACCGGGCGTGGTGGCTCAAGCCTGTAATCCCAGCACTTTGGGAGGCCGAGGCGGGTGGATTACGAGGTCAAGAGATCGAGACCATCCTGGTCAACATGGTGAAACCCCGTCTCTACTAAAAATACAAAAAAATTAGCTGGGCATGGTGGCGTGTGCCTGTAATCCCAGCTACTCAGGAGGCTGAGGCAGGAGAATTGCCTGAACCCAGGAGGTGGAGGTTGCGGTGAGCCGAGATCGCGCCATTGCACTCCAGCCTAGGCAACAAGATCGAAACTCCGTCTCAAAAAAAAAAAAAAAAAAATTCACGCTGCCATTTTTGTAGCACAGTAATAATACAGTATTTATTTTCAAAGTAGTACACCACACTTTACCAACAGACAACTAGCCATCACTTACGAGATACGACCATTTTTTCCTGGGTGGCATATTTCAGATTCTAAATCTTCCAAGAATATTTTTACCACTGGCTTCCATGAGAATCACTTCCCTTAGGGGATTTTCTTTTCTTTATATATTTTCAACCTAACTGCAATAGAAAAATTCTCAGCCTTTATTTATAAGTGCAGAGCATTATGTGACATTGCTCATCTATGGTATATTTCCTATGTCTGCAACAACAGCCTATTTTAAAAGGTTTTCTACAGATACCTGTGAATTTATGATTAATTTAATGTCACTTCACTTATCAAAGGACTCTGCCTACTGTGATTTCTTTGTAAGTTATGATACTACTGAATCCTTCCTTAAAACGATTTTTTTAAAATGATAGTTAAAATTTAAAGGAAACTGCCATGTGGGCACATGAGAAGAGTCTGAAAAAGAAATAAATCTCCTAGAGTGTGGGGAAAATGACAGCACAGCACGATTCTGTCAGAAAAGGCTGCTGTGGAATCTAAATCCTAATTTTTCTATTGTTATTTCTATTTCTCTGAAAATATCTTACTCTCAGTGGAATTTCTAAATATCAATTTTTACTACTCTTCCTTTCCTGCTCAATTGAAAAAATGCACCTTAATCCACACATTGTGCCAATCTTCAAAACACTCAAAAGAGGCTGAGTGCATGGCTCACGTCTGTAATCTCTACACTTTGGCAGGCCTAGGTGGGTGGACTGCTGGAGCCAGGAGCTCGAGACTTGCCCGGGCACCGTAACAGGACTCTGTCTCTTTGAATTTATATATATATAAAAACTCAAAAGGTCAGCAACATACTATAGCTGAGTGAAACAGGCAGCTACAAGGAAAAAAGCACCCAATGATCAACAGCAACAGACCCTCTGTAAAAAAGAGGCAAATTTGAGTGCTGGGGCCTATAGCAAACTGGAAAAATCTGACACCAACAGAAATCTGAGAAATTCAGAAATTAAGTTTTCCAAAGTACATTTGGAAGTAATTTTACTATATCTGATTTAAAAGTAGTACACCACAATTGTACTTTGTTCACTGGTTGATAAATAGGATTAACAGACAAGGTTTGCTAAAAATCATATATTGTTTTCTATTGTCTGTACATGTTAATAAATTGGGGAGTTCATTCTCATATTACAAAAGAAGTCTTAATCATGAGCAAATAGTAAAAGTGAATAAAGGTAGCTCAAAACACTAGCTAAGGATTTTAATAATTTTTTGGAAAGAAAGGGAAGAGAGAGAACAGATTTCATTAAATATTTTACACTATCAAAAAGAAAACAAAGATGAAAAAATAAGTGTGATTAATCAAAGCATGGCTGAAATATTCTGGGTTCCTGGTTGCTTTCCAAATAGAAAACAACACTACACAAAGCAGATTAGTGACTTGCTACCATCAATTACAAAGTAAGAATTCTTTAAAAAATAATAGGCCGGGCGCGGTGGCTCAAGCCTGTAATCCCAGCACTTTGGGAGGCCGAGGCGGGTGGATCACGAGGTCAAGAGATCGAGACCATCCTGGTCAACATGGTGAAACCCCATCTCTACTAAAAATACAAAAAATTAGCTGGGCATGGTGGCGCATGCCTGTAATCCCAGCTACTCAGGAGGATGAGGCAGGAGAATTGCTTGAACCCAGGAGGCAGAGGTTGTGGTGAGCGGAGATCACGCCATTGCACTCCAGCCTGGGTAACAAGAGCGAAACTCCATCTCAAAAAAATAAAAATAAAAATAAATAAAAATAATAAACATTTTGAATGACACATACACAAAGATACTTTATTTTCTGTATATGATGACTATGGCAGGAACTCACATTACAAATAAGTGGTTCTCAGGTTTATTTTCACATTTTCAAATAAAAACTACTAAAAGTGTGGCTCTTGAAGCACTTACAATTATTTCCTAATTCCCAAACACAATAGATGTATACCACTTTCTGGGAAATATAAAAAGATGGTTGTCTGCAGCACCTGAATGGGTACTGAATCACATGAACCCATCCTGTAGTAACCAAGCCCCTTAATTTGAAAGGCTCGGTACAAGTACATGGATGACCTTCAGGCTTCTTTCTATCATAGTGTGATACTATGATATTAGAAATTGCAGGCCGGGCACGGTGGCTCACGCCTGTAATCCCAGCACTTTGGGAGGTTGAGGCGGGTGGATCACGAGGTCCAGAGATGGAGACCATCCTGGTCAACATGGTGAAACCCGTCTCTACTAAATATACAAAAAAAATTAGCTGGGCATGGTGGCGCATGCCTGTAATCCCAGCTACTCAGGAGGCTGAGGCAGGAGAATTGCCTGAACCCAGGAGGCAGAGGTTGCGGTGAGCCGAGATCACGCCATTGCACTCCAGCCTGGGTAACAAGAGCGAAAGTCCGTCTCAAAAAAAAAAAAAAAAAAAGACATTGCTTATCCACAGAACACAACAACACTGAGGTGAACACAAAAAGCAGTAGTTACAGCTACTTGCCACATCCCTCCCCTAAGAAACTGGGCAAAAAATTCCATCTGTGACCTATTAAACCTCATCTGATGTAAATTACTAAGAGAATGTGCTTAATAGGAAAGAGCCAGAGCAGTCTTATATACATATTGCTTTACTTTCCAGGCCAATCAACAACGTTGCTGACAAAAAATACAATTTCCTCTCTCCAACTTGAGGCAAAAAAAAAAAAAAAAACAACAGAATATGTGGCCTCAACCATTCCTGTGAAATGCTTTGTCAACACTCTCTTTGAAGAGCCATCAGAAACAGCTCCCCAAAACTGTTAGTGCTTCTGTTCCTCTATGTAAGTGCATCATTCTATTTTTATAAGTAAAACACAACTTTCTGATGCAACCAGAAAAACATTAATACCAAAACACTGTTAACATCATAGGAGAGATTTTACAAATCTCTAAAAACACTGTCATGCCAGGTGCGGTGGCTCAAACCTGTAATCCCAGCACTTTGGGAGGCCGAGGCGGGTGGATCACGAGGTCAGGAGATCGAGACCATACTGGTCAACATGGTGAAACCCCGTCTCTACTAAAAATACAAAAAATTAGCTGGGCATGGTGGCACATGCCTGTAATCCCAGCTACTGAGGAGGCTGAGGCAGGAGAATCGCTTGAACCCAGGAGGCGGAGGTTGCGGTGAGCCGAGATCGCGTCATTGCACTCCAGCCTGGGTAACAAGAGTGAAACTCCGTCTCAAATAAATAAATAAATAAATAAATAAAATAAAATAAAAACACTGTCATGTGGGAAGCCACCTACACTGTGTACTCATGTCAACATTATATATGGAGTGGAATACTTTTACTTATCCATATATGCAACAGGTTTTTGCACACAATATTGCACAAAATAACATGTAATACGCAGATTCTAGCTTACCATTCTTTCATTTACCAAACATTTACTGAGGGCCTACCATCATGCCAGGCATCAGGGGCAAACTAGGGAGCAAAAACAGAAATCATCCCTTGTCCTCTGGAATCTCAAAATCCATTGGAAACACAAATCCAAATCTTGTAAAACTGCTAACTGAGCAACTACAAATTGAGAAACAAAACTGCAAACCTGATTGATAAATCAGCAATGATTATTCACACTGCTAGAATCGTTTTTCCAAATGATCCACCCAACGTTTATTTTTCATTATATTTTATTTTTGCAGGACTACCCTCATAGGCAGTGTGCCTAGAGTAGCTCATTCAACTTTTTAGTCTGTCATCCTCACCTCTGAAATACATACAGGGCTGCACAGCTTACCATTTTTATCACTACTGAAGTGGGCCCAGCGAGGCACCAAGTTCTCTCACCTGATCTCTCAAAGACATTGTAATCTCCCAAACCTGTGAATACGTTACTTTACATACTCAAGCAAGAATTTCACAGCTGTGATTAAGAACTTCCAAATGAAGATATTATTCTGAATTACCCAGGTGCGCCCAATGTAATCACACGCGTCTTTACAAGAGAGACACAGGAGTGCTGGAGAGAGCAGAGGGTGTGATTTGAAGATATTCTTCTGCTGGCTGTGAAGATGAAGAAAGCAGTCAGGAGCCAAGGAATTCAGGCAGGCTTCATAAGGTGGGAAAGCCAAGGAAATAAATGTATTCTCCCCTAGTACTTCCAAAGGGAACAGAGCCCTCCTGATACCTTGATTTTAGCCTAGTAAGATTTACAGACCTCGTCTGATCTACAGACTTATAGACGGTAAATTTGCGTTATGAACCAACAAAGTTTCTGCAATTTGTTACAGCAGCAACGGAAGACTAACACAACCTCCTAAGCAGTCTCTCTGCTTCCCTTTTTTTCTCTTTCCTTTTAGCATCAAAAGGAGCAATCCCAGTTATCTTTTAAAAATGTAAGCCAGGCCGGGCGCGGTGGCTCACGCCTGTAATCCCAGCACTTTGGGAGGCCAAGGCGGGTGGATCACGAGGTCAAGAGATCGAGACCATCCTGGTCAACATGGTGAAACCCCGTCTCTACTAAATATACAAAAAAATTAGCTGGGCACGGTGGCGTGTGCCTGTAATCCCAGCTACTCAGGAGGCTGAGGCAGGAGAATTGCCTGAATCCAGGAGGCGGAGGTTGCGGTGAGCCGAAATCGCGCCATTGCATTCCAGCCTGGGTAACAAGAGCAAAACTCCGTCTCAAAAAAAAAAAAAAAAAATGTAAGCCATATGAGGTCATCCCTCTGCTTAAAATCTTCCAATGAAATCCAAAGTCCATGCAAGAAACTTGACCGCCCTAACGTCATTTCCCACTTTCCCCTACTGTGTTTTCCTGCAACACAGGTTCCCTGCTGTTCCTCTATTAATCTGAATGCTCCAGTCTTGGCACTTTTCCCTCTGTCTGAATCAGTCTCCCACTCTTACTCCCAAACTCTTATCCTTGAGGTCCTATCTTAAATGTTGCCTTCTCTAAAAGACTTCACCTAGACATTCCATCCCAAATGGCAACCCCCCACCCCTTAAACTCCCTCATCACTTCCCTCCCTTTAGCGTTTTGCCTTAGCATTTACCACCAAACCCAATACAAAGCTTACTTCTGCCTGTTGCCCGTTTCCAAGAAGGCCAAAATTTCTGCGTTTGCTGCTGCATCCCCAGCAGCTATGCCTGGCACGTATTAGACACTTAATAAATATTTGTTGAATCAATCAATGAACCAGATGGGGACTCTTAAAAAGGTAAAGCTGTGATTTAAAGATACAGAAAACCATGATGTAGGAAAAAAAGATAATCGAAACTGCTACGACTAAGAGATACGATTCTCTTAAACCTTTGCCACATTTGAACGCATAATCTGGAAGGAAATTAAGACCACATGACTATATCAAAAGTGAAAATATTCTGGAGAAGCAAAATAAGCCAGTAACCTATTTCTTAATTTAAAAAAAAAAAAAAAAACGCAACGCAAAATGCCAGCGTTTTCTCAGCGTTTCTTCCCTAAAACATTCACACCTGCCAAGACCTCTTTAGGTCTTGGCAAATAAATATTTTGCTTTTCTGAAAAATTGTGGTTCTGATGTTAGCAAATTTGGAACGAAATCTGTATGCAGAAAAAGCGCCCAGCAGCCCGCAATCCACCCACTCGGTGACCCTTTTTAGGACAAAATCCCTGGGAGCTGGGGCCTGCGGGAGCTTCACGCAGACTGGAGCCGAAGGGACGCAGTGAGCGCCCGCACCCGCGCTGCCCCCGGCTCCGCGAAGGCCTCCCTGGGGGGTTGGGGAAGCGTTGAGGGGTCCCAGCGCAGCGCTGGGGCCCAGATTTCTCCGTGTGGGGACAGGAGAGAGACAGAGCAGCTTGGAGAAACCCGCAGAGACTCCGTAGGGGGAGAGCCCGCGGTGCGTGAAACAAACCCGTTCTCTCCTCCGACCTCGAAGACAGAGGCTCCACCGCGGCCCGCGGCCACCGGCTTTGGAGCCTGGAGCCCAGCTTGCCTCCTCTCGCTGCGGGATCGTAGCCTACGCTCGCTTACCGGCCGAAGGCTCGCAGCCAACTCTCTGACCCCTCAAGACGCCCAGGTCGCTCCGGCTCGAATCCTGCGGAGTAGGGGGCGGGACAATAGGGGCGGCTGCGCGCCACTCGGCAGAACTCCGCCCACCAGGCGCGATGCCGGAACTACATGTCCCATGAGGCTCTGGGAGGCCGCAGCTTTCCACCGGAAAGAGATTGGCTGAGGTGGGGGAGGAGCCCAAAAAGGATTGTGGGAGTACAGCTCTTTCCTTTCCGTTTGGCGGCAGCCATCAGGTAGGCAGCATTGGGGATCTGTTCTTCATCCGCTTTTCATCGTCTTCTTCTTGAGCCATCCAGGCTCGGGGACCCTGCGTCCTCGGAAATAGGTCTCTCTCCTGTCTGGCAAGAGTTGGTCAGGATGCGGGACAGCGAGGGGGTGGAGAGGCGTCCCCCGGAGCGGGTTGGGCGAAGATATGATGGCGGCGCGAATTTGAGCCGGGCCCGGAGCCTGGAGGAGGCGTGAGGCTGACGGATGGGGCGCCCGGAACAAGGCAGCCTAAGTGAGGCTGCTGGTTGGGTGGGGTAGATGTATTTTCCTCGAGAGTTAATCCTCCGTGGCGGCAGCAGTACCTTGCTCTGTGGTGTCAGCGACATCTCCTTACAGGTCCCCCTTGGGGACGCCGCCTGCCGCAGCCACCCGCCCCCTCGGTGCTCAGCTCTGGTTCTGTTCATTTCCCCCCACCAAAACGTGCCGAGCGCCGCTCCGCGCCGCGGTTGCGGAGGTGACTGAACGCGGCTCCGTGGGCGCTGCGGTGGGGGTTGGGCCAGCTGTCCCCGGCGGTTGGTGGCGAGCCATTTTCATTCCCGGCGGTGTCCTTGTGCTTGCTGGCGAACTAAGATGGACGGGTAGGGTCGTCGTCTTACTGTACTTGAAGCAGATCATAGCTAATGCCCTGTCTGATTTCGCAGGTAAGCCAAGATGGGTGCATACAAGTACATCCAGGAGCTATGGAGAAAGAAGCAGTCTGATGTCATGCGCTTCCTTCTGAGGGTCCGCTGCTGGCAGTACCGCCAGCTCTCTGCTCTCCACAGGGCTCCCCGCCCCACCCGGCCTGATAAAGCGCGCCGACTGGGCTACAAGGCCAAGCAAGGTACGTGGTCGGCTGCGTGGATGCTTGGATGAAATTATATTCGAGGAAAGTTGGAAACCAGCTGTTAGGAAGACACTGTCGCCCCAGTGTCTTTATTCGCATAGGGCTTTGGCGGAATAGAGGTAGCAATACTGGTCAGTTACGGAATAACACCGTTGTCTAAAGTGGCAACTGTGTCAAAGGTTACAAATTTCAATGAGTTTAAAGCAGAATCAACAGTGTGCCTCCTGTGTGATTAATTGAAAAAGACTGGAATGTGTTTTATCTTTTTTCCCATTAGATAGCATTAGCTTACTCTTGAAGTATTTTTGGTGCAGTGTTAGTGACAAGCCATTGAGTCTTAAGCCTTATATGGCTTCCTATAAAGTCACTAATTTTGTGTGTGTTTGTGTGTAGGTTACGTTATATATAGGATTCGTGTTCGCCGTGGTGGCCGAAAACGCCCAGTTCCTAAGGGTGCAACTTACGGCAAGCCTGTCCATCATGGTGTTAACCAACTGAAGTTTGCTCGAAGCCTTCAGTCTGTTGCAGAGGTAAATGGTTTTGAGTAGCAGTTATATTGAATTCTGCTTGGGGATGGTGGGAGAGACAGATCTAAGCAACTTTTCTGATTGACGTGAGCTGTCTCTTGAATAAAACAGAGTTTGTGACTTTTACTAATCTTGGTAAAGAGTAATTGCTTGAAAGACTTGTAAATCATTGTTACAAATGTGTGTGTATAAACTGGAAGTACTTGTGGAACCTAAGCTTTTGAGGCACAGTAAACTGTCTTAGACCACATTTCCCCAAATGTGTAGAAGCTGCATTTATGTTGCTAATTTTATGTAGTCAGTTGCAGGTTTTCTTCCGGGTTAGTAAATTAAGCTATGCTCTGTTGTAGGCATTGGCAAACTAGGGACTGTCTCCACTAGCTAAAAATTTTTTTGTTTTGTTCCTTAAAGAGTCAGGAATATCCAGAAGAGACCATATGTGGCTTGCACACCCTAAAATGCGTACTAAATATTGTTAAAGCTGAACATTTCTGAGCTCTCAGTTGTATTGGAAAAAGATAAGGTCCCCAAACCCTAAATTTTGTTAGCCAGATGTTAACATTCATGCCCTGGTCCGTAATGGAGTGATAAGGGAATGAATGTGTTTCAGGCTTTGTTTATGTGTGACGTTTTAGCACGTCTGCTTTATCTCGTTATGCTTACTGGAGACAGTCTGGGGAGAGATGCTTAGTAAATACTTGAATAGTAAGAGACTAGTCTGGTGGTGTACTAGAGTTGAGAATTAAAGTTCTTTCTGACTTGCTGCTATAGGCAATGTGGGAGACTGATGGTGGGCCTTTTTTCCTATTCTAGGAGCGAGCTGGACGCCACTGTGGGGCTCTAAGAGTCCTGAATTCTTACTGGGTTGGCGAAGATTCCACATACAAATTTTTTGAGGTTATTCTCATTGATCCATTCCATAAAGCTATCAGAAGAAATCCTGACACCCAGTGGATCACCAAACCAGTCCACAAGCACAGGGAGATGCGTGGGCTGACATCTGCAGGCCGAAAGAGCCGTGGCCTTGGAAAGGGCCATAAGTTCCACCACACTATTGGTGGTTCTCGCCGGGCAGCTTGGAGAAGGCGCAATACTCTCCAGCTTCACCGTTACCGCTAATATAAGTAAAGTTTGTAAAATTCATACCTAATAAACAATTTAGGACAGTCATGTCTGCTTACAGGTGTTCTTTGTCTGTTAAAATTAGTCTGCTGATTGTTTTCATGAGTGCTTTGTCAAATTAAGAAAGTTAAAGTGCAATAATGTTTGAAGACAATACATGATATGGTGTATGTTGTTTCTAATAAGATAAACATTTTTGTCTTTGCTTTATCTTATTAGGGAGTTATATGTCGGTGTATAAAACATACTGTGTGGTATAATAGGTTTAAAATAAACTTTAAAAGAAGAGTACTGAAACTAGCCCTGTAGATTTGTCTGGTGCATGTGATGAAACCTGCAGCTTTATTGGGTGATGGCAATCCTCTGCTGCTTTAAAGTGGCTGGGATTGTTTTTTAGTTTGGCAGGTACGGGCTTTTTAAGTTGGGCTTTGCTTTAGAAATTGTAAGGTGAGAGGAGGGCATCTTAACTATGTCATGATTATATTTAGAAAATTAGGGGCACAAATCTGGGTTAGCCTGAAGAAAATTGCCTCTGTCTCCGTAGTACCATTTTAAGTTCACATAAAAGGTGAAAGCTGATTCAGTGCCAGTGGCTTCAGGGCATTCATTCGTTACTGGTAATGGTATTAACACTGATGTGTTTTGAAATTGAATGTTAGATAAAATTACTAGCCTCAAAGTTGGTAAGCTAGTAATCAGTGCTAGGGTGGGAAGCTGGCCAGCCAGTGACCATTAGATAAATAACCTTTCAAGTGTGAGCTTAGACGTCAACCCTAAAATACTTAACCATGTAACACTAATTTGTGATCGTGAATCCCTTCAGTCACATGGGTGGGGAAAATAGTTGGCTCTAAGTTCCTCATTCTTCGTCCAGTCAGTCTTAAAAATAACTTGGGTTACTCCCTCTGTCCACTCCCATAGGCTTAAGGAAAAGTCATACAAATGCATGGTTTCCAACCCTATGTGCTTCCTGCAGTTATTTCTCTCGTTCTTGGCCAAATGACCCTAAAAATCCTTAGCAGTACACAAAAGTTGGGCCATCACCTGTGTGCCCGTTTTGGCTGTAAGCAATACCACCACAAGGCGTTTTTGTTAGCATCATGTCTCTTCGGAGGCTAGGCTACTGTTTTCCAGGGTGAATTTGAGTGTCAAGAAAAAAGGTAGGGAATTGCCCAATTCTAAATTCTGACTCCTGACTTAATTTAAATGCTCATTTTTCTGAACCTGGTTTTCTATCTTCTCTAGGGGTTTCAAAAGGCTCAGTTAATTGATTTCCAGGAGGTACTTGGCAAGTTCATCAAAGTTCTTGAGACCTAAATTTCTTCCCGGGAAAAGATCTTAAGTAATACATTTTGATTGTGTAGAGGTTCAACTAAAGGAATAAATGTCTATTAAACTAAAACCAATGGACCTTCTGTTATTTGTCATCTTCTAGCCGAGGTCATGTTACTGCACTCCAGTCTGGGTGACAGAGTGAGACTCCATCTCAAAAAAACAAAGTTAGTTCTCCAGTCATATTAGCTACATTTCAAATGCTCATTGGGCACATTGGCTACCATATTGTACAGCACAGAAAATATTTTGACCATCACAGAAATTTCTGTTGTATAGTGCCAATTTATCTATTTATTTAGAGACCTATTCTTGCTCTGTCTCCAGGTTGGAGTGCAGTGGCGCAATCTTGGTTCACTGCAACCTCTGCCCCCCCAGTTCAAGCAATTGTTCCTGTCTCAGCCTCCCGAGTAGCTAGAATTACAGGCACCTACCACCTTGCCTGGATAATTTTTGAATTTTTAGTAGATAACAGGATTGTACCATCTTGGCCAGACTGGTCTCAGAACTCCTGACCTTAGGTATGACCTTAGATAATGCCTGCCTCGGACTCCCAAAGTGGTGGGATTACAGGTATGAGCCACCGCACCGGGCCATAGTGCCAATTTAGACCCTTGAAATTCTTTCGTCCTTTTTCTTTCTTCTTCCTCCTCTTGCGCCGCCTCCTCCTGCTCCTTCTTTCTCTTCTTTTTTCTCCTCTTTTTTTTTTTTTTTGAGACGGAGTTTCGCTCTTGTTACCCAGGCTGGAGTGCAATGGCGCGATCTCGGCTCACCGCAACCTCCGCCTCATGAGGCAATTCTCCTGCCTCAGCCTCCTGAGTAGCTGGGATTACAGGCACGCGCCACCACGCCCAGCTAATTTTTTTGTATTTTTAGTAGAGACGGGATTTCACCATGTTGACCAGGATGGTCTCGATCTCTTGACCTTGTGATCCACCCGCCTCGGCCTCCCAAAGTGCTGGGATTACAGGCTTGAGCCACCGTGCCCGGCCCTTTTTTCTCTTCCTCCTCTTCCTCTCCTTCTGTTTTCTCTTCCTCTTCTTTTTTTCAGCAGATGAAGACAAGACATAGGAAGTCTAGTTTTATGATAAAAATTTGATATATAGATTTCATATCAGAATAGTATTCGTTGCTATAGATATTTTAATTGTATAATTACCACTCCTTTGTCAGGGTGATACTAGATTTTTAGAAATTTTTGATAAGAGTTTTATCCCGCCGAGGTTCAAGCCTCGGTAATCCCAGCACTTTGGGAGGCCGAGGCGGGTGGATCACGAGGTCAAGAGATCGAGACTGTCCTGGTCAACATGGTGAAACCCCGTCTCTACTAAAAATACAAAAAATTAGCTGGGCATGGTGGCGCGTGCCTGTAATCCCAGCTACTCAGGAGGCTGAGGCAGGAGAATTGCCTGAACCCAGGAGGCGGAGGTTGCGGTGAGGCGAGATCGCACCATTGCACTCCAGCCTGGGTGACAAGAGCGAAACTCCGTCTCAAAAAAAAAAAAGGTTTCATCCCAATGGTACAAACTGTAAAAGAATGAACTGCTACAACACCTTTTCTAAGAAAAAAGGTTTTGGTCTAAAAAGACTTTTAGTTTTCCATTGGCTGCAATTTGGCTGCATCTTTTGTCAAACTGTTGGATCTTTGAAATCAGTTGTATAAATATTCATCATTCAGAGAAGAAGCAATGCTTTGGATTTGTCCTAGAAGGATCAAGCTGGCCTGAAATACCAATAGGGGGTGGCACGCCCCAACGAGCTACACTCTGACCATCAGCTGCCCCAAACAGGATGAAATCCATGTGGCAGGTTTTAACCAGCAACACTCTCCACAGCCCCAATATCATTCCAGTTCAGCCTTGGGAAGGTTGGCTAGACATTTAGCTTGTCCATTGATTTCAGTTCTTATTAATGATGCAGTGAACATCATCACTATAAATAGTTTCCAACCTATTTTTATATAGGAAAAATAAACTGAAAATAAAGCTTTTTAATATAAAATGCTGCTCAAGTTTTCTTTAGAAAAAGAAAAATCTGCTGGTAGGCTGTGTGCAGTGGCTCACACCTGTAATCCTAGCACTTTGGGCTGCCAAGGTGGGAGGATTACTTGAGGCCAGGAGTTTGAGAACAGTCCAGTCAACATAGTGAGGCCCCATCTCTATATTTTTTAACTGAGGAAAGAAAAAAATCTACTGCAAAGGTGCTGTAGTTGGCTTGTGCCGTTAAACCTCATAATCAAAGCATTCAAACGTAACAAAATGCTTAGCTGGAACAGACACTTCAGCTCACTCTGAAATCCTGGCAAAGGGCAACTCACTCCTCCAAAACTGATGAAATCACTTGATTTAATTGGCATGCTGTGAACATCTAAACTCATTTGCTGGCAATTCTCACTGTCATTTAGAGAGAAGTTCATTATTTGGCAGTCCTAGTTAGTTACAGACTATAACTGATAGATGATGTAATTACCAGTCATCTAATCACAAAACTTCTTTCTGTGAGAGTGTAAACATACTATTTAACTTCCAGAGGTTGATAATTAACTAAGCTAGGAAGTTTTTCTTATCAAAAAGAAAGATGCAAAAAATGATCATCCAAGGCCGGGCACAGTAGCTCACGCCTGTGATCCTACCAACTTGGGAGGCTGAAACCGGAGGATTGCTTGAGCCCAGGAATTCCAGACCAGCCTGGGCAACATGGTGAGATCGTGTCTCTACAAAAGATCAAAAAATTAGCCTGGTGTGGTGGTGCATGCCAGTAAGGAGGTCATAGTGCCACTGCACTCCAGCCTAGGCAACAAAGACTTTCTCTCCTCTCTCTCTCTTTCTACACACACACACACACACACACACACACACATCATCCGAGCCAGGAATGGTAGCCCACACCTGTAGTCTCAGCTACTCAGGAGGCTGAGGCAGCAGAATCACTTGAAACCAGAAGATGGAGGTTGCAGTAAGGCAAAATCGCACCACTGCACTCCAGCCTGGGCAACAGAGCGAGACCCTGTCCAAAAAAAAAAAACCAAGTCTCTTTTCAATACCATCAGTGCTCACTAACCCTCCAATCCCCCATAACTCCTTGATGAACTGACAATAAGTTTCTAAATATATAAAATGTAATTTACATTCTTAATTCTGATGTGGGTCATATTTGACTTGCAGAGAAAAGAAGATCTTGTTGCATCTTGAACACGATTTAGAAAAAAAATGTTTATACTATTTTTTTTCCTGGAAACATTTTAATTTGAGATAATGCCATATGTGGAAGCTGACTCCTAGTCAAGGATTTGTGTGCTAGTTGTTTATTACTGAAGTGCTTTTAGGGGAAACTGACAAGGGCATGAAGAAGTCAGACCAAAAAAAAAAAAAGAGAAACCTCAAAGCATGATTTAGGCTTAAAAAAAAAAGAAAGAAAGAAAGAAAAGAAAGAGAGAAGCCAAGTCAGATTGTGATTTCAGCCAAAGTCCTACACGGAGTTGTTTCTTCCTGACCCCACAGGAGAACTGTGGAGTGAAGTTATGCTTCAGAGTTTGTACCAACTCGTGGCAAGAATACTGTTTTTTGTAGAACATTTGAGGTCAGGAGTTCGAGACCAGCCTGGCCAACATGGTGAAACCCCATCTCTACTAAAAATCCAAAAGTTAGCCAGGCATGATGGCAGACACCTATAATCCCAGCTACTCAGGAGGCGGAGGCAGGAGAATGGCTTGAACCTGGGAGGCAGAGGTTGCAGTGAGCTGAGATCAGGCCACTGCACTCCAGCTTAGGTGACAGAGCAAGACACACACACACACACACACACACACCAAACAGACAAAAAGAATACTGTTTTTTATATTCTTGCACCCATCAGTCATGGGCTAGGAGCTACTGGAGTAGAATGTAAACTCCCAGACACTTTGCTCCAATAGCAGCCAAGTGATTTCAATAGCTTCAAGGGCATTTCTCCC